ACTGTTTAGCATCTTACCTGTGGCATTATTTTTCCCCTGAGTTGAGGAATGCCATTTAATTCGATCATTTTTATCCCACAATGTGCAGTGACTGTCAGGCATACCAATATCTGATATCAACAATAGCTTATTTCATTACTTTGTATTTTCATCTTCATTTGTTACAAGATATTTCATGAAACATTTAACTCTGCATTTGCAAATGTGAAAAGTGCTGAGGTAGAGAAAAAAGGTGTCGAGGATTTAATAGCCTAAATCCACCCCAAAAGACTCCTGCAATGCAGCAGAAATATACACAAAAGTAAGTGTTTTCAAAGCCAATTGTGGTATTTCAAAGCCAATTGTGGTATTCGCACCAAATTAAGATGTCCCTGCTGGCAGCCACGCCAATATACCTTAGAGCCTCAGCTCCTTACTCACCATATGGAGGACCATTGTGGTGTACTTCTGAAAAGTGATGTATGTGGAGACCTTATAGCTTGCTGTCTAGTAATGTTAAGCAAAAAAGATCATGGTAAAAACAAAAAGGAACTCATCCTTCTTTCTTAGAGACTGGTTTATAGTTGGGGGAAACAGATCTAAGGATTTCAGAACCATTCCTTGCATAAATGTTTCTTGTTATGAGACCTCTGCTAGAGCTGCCATCTTTGAACAGTTACCAGGTCTGGTTCAAAAAAACTCCAGAACTAGGAGATCTGTGAAGACGTTCCTGAAACATGACGTTTCAACTGATTATTTCTATATTGGCTCTGAGAGTTCAGGCTGGCCTAAAGAAGACCTTGTAATGATGAAAATGTCTGTTCCCTAAAGACTTTCAGCTTTAACTAGAAGATAACACTAGACAGCACTAGAAGTGAGTACTTTCCATGCCGTTCCAAAGGTTAATCATTCTCATTGTTAAATATTTCTGCCTAATTTCTCATTTGAATTTCTGCAATTCCAGCCTCCAGTTACTGGTTCTTGTTATGCCTTTCTCTAACAGATTAGAGTACTTTCAGATCTTGTAGTTTTAACTTGTAAAAGTACATATGCATGATGATCAATCTCTTCTCAGTCTTTTTGTAATAAGCAAAACATACTAAAAGTTGTAATTTGCTTACTCAGAATCAATTCCCTTCTTAATGTAATTGACAATAAACACAGATAGATGGAGCTCACCCTCTCCTAATTTGGCGGTACAGCATTTACCTCTTAAGAGCTAACCACAAAACAAGTGCACTTATTGTATTTGCCCTACACTTCTAATTTATGCTAGCCTTAAGTTATCCCTGTAGTTTCCAACCCTCCTCAATTTTCAAGCACTATTTTAAAAATGTGGTCACCAGGACAATATATAGTGGCCCTAGAATTTGCTCTGCCCCTACTTAAACATCCCTGGGGCGCACTGGACTTTTTGTTACTTCATTGCACAACAAATTCATGTTGAGCTGCTTCTCTGACATGACCATTCTAGATCCTTTTCAGAAGCTCTCTTTTCCAGGATAGTACAGTCTGTACTTAACCCCTCATTTCTTACTTCCAGATAAAGAAGTTTGCACCATGCGATATTAAAACACATTTTGTCTGAATGGATCACATCTACCATGTAATCTAGTATGACTCTCCTCTCAGCGTTACTGAACATTTTGCCACTCTGTGAGAGAGCTAAAGACTTTTTGAAGTGATTTCGTATTGACTGCCAGATCGCTGATGAAAATGTTGACTCGTGTAAGTCCTAGTATCCCATCCTCAGAAATACCGTTATTCAGTGTTGATCCCCCACTGATGATCTTTTGCTTTTTGAAATGCCAGCCAGTTCTCCACCCATGTAGCATACATCTTCAAGTGTTGCACAGCGCTAAAAAATGTCGTGGTAGGCAGAAGTAATGGAAGGTGCACCAGATCAGGTCCAAGGACAACTGTACGAATTAATTTTTTTGGTCTTGTGGCTAACCCAATATATGAATTAAATCATTATCCCACTTCAAGAAAAAAATGAAAAAAAAAATCCTGTTCTAAATGAAAAGAAGTTTTACTAGACTAGAAATTAAACATTCTGGTTTTAAGAATTTTCCTACTTTAAAAAATACAGTAGGCTAAACTTGGCCAACGTTGTTTTAAACCAGGGTTTAAATGTTTCATTTTGAAAAAGTTGAAAGAAAATATGTTGACTTTTCCAAACTTCCCTCATTTTTGAGTTCTAAACTTCTCAAGAATTTATTTTTGTTTATCCCAGCAAACATTTTTGACAAGTTAAATGTAAGCGTTTTCTAGGTTTGATATTCTGCATGTACCCCAGGACAGGGACAAGTAGTTACCCACAGCTGGATAAGCAGTAGGTGCCTAAAACAGACTGAGATACATTTACAAAGCCATACGGTCTGGAATAAGCTTGTGGAGCCCCTTCACACCATATGGTCCACTCTACCCAGCGTTAAGAGCCTTACATATTCACAAACTCTAAATTAGCCAACTCACACATCAAAAGTAAACCGCAAAATTGAACCGTAAAAATTATTCAACAGAACTGGTCTTACAGCCAGACAGCTATAAACATCTCCAAACACAAACAGCTTATTGTCTGCAAAGAGAGAGAAAAAAAAAAGAATAATTATAAGAACAAGCAAGCAGTGAGCGTGAGGAAACCAATGGAACATCTCTCAAGTGTTGGAGCTGAACCAGATTGCTCAGGTACAATTTTACCTTCTGAACAACAATTTTCTGTAGTGACTGTCATAAAAACTGTGTTGCAAAATAGTTCACAAACTTGTACAACTACCATACAGCATTAAATAAAACGTCACAGCAAAGGAAGGAGGAGAAACATAGCAGTAAGACAGAGAATAGACATTTTTTCAGTTGAGGCTAGTATCACAGTGGGAGATAGAGACAATGGCAACTTCATATGGTGACAGAATGCTCTTTAATCTGGGGGCAATACTGCTGGATGTGACAACAGCAATTCAGTTCCTAAACAAGTGAAGGAAATGGATACAAGAGATGACAGAGGAGCTTTGCTTAGCACAACTATTGATAAACAATATATGTCAAAATCTTGTATCTTTAGCTTTGTTTGATGTACTCAGAAGAGGACAGTTTTCTCCAAGAGAAGGGAAAATATGTCATTCATAGAGCTGATGACACAGCTGCTGTCAGCACAATGCAAACCCGAAGTCAGATTTCCACTGAAGTCAATGAGAATTTTGGCATAGAAGGACTACAACAGAACTGCCCTTACAATCCTCCAAATCTCACTCAGCCTAGAAATTCTAACAGATGAATTTAGTCTACAGGAGTTTTGTCTCTTTTATAGTCTTCCTGCCTCTTACTGCACGGAAAGTTTTTATTTATTTATTTGTAATAGGAATATGTTTGCTTCTTATACATTCTACCCTTTTCTTCTCTAGCCGGCTTGTGTGTCTCTTCTAGATGAACCATGCCAGGCAAAGTGGGCATGATCCTCACCATACTTCACAAGATGGTAACACAATAGTAGCAGTTATTAATCGGCAACTAAATTTATTGTCCTATATGGCACTAAATACTGCCACTTCAGCACTAGCGGCACCTTATCCGTTTAAAGCTCCATCTAGTCTCCAGTTACTACAACTTCCTGGCTAATATTTTTCCCTATTTCACATTTTAACTATATCCTAAAAACTACATCTCTTGAGGTGTTTTAGAAGCTTCATTTAAAAAAACACTATGTAACATTTGAACATACGCCCATTACATGTACACAGCATCTGACATTTAATGCAAAAGCTTTTATTTTAACTCAAGTTATTTATATACCAGTTTTCATCTCTCTCTCTCCTTTTTCTCTCATGTCCTACTCAGTGATGCCTAAGTACCAGATATCAGATCAAGAAATTCTATTGCAATGCCATTTGCACTGTATTTTCTACCTTTTACTAGGATACCTCATCCTTCAGCTGGATGAACCATTAAGTTACTGAAGTTGTTGGAAACTATATTTATAGACAGGATGTCTAAAAAAGGGGCCTTTGTACCAGGCTTCCCTCCTTTTTTTTCTTTGCAATTTCAACGAAGACAACTGTATCAAACCTGCTGAAGCAGCTTTTCTGGGATTGTGCCATTGCTGCTGGGTCCAACTCTTCTGTTTCAGTTTGCAGAGACCAGCAATGCCTTGGGAGGTATCGAAGGGGTAAAGATAGGCACTACGAGAGACACCGTCGACTGAGGCTGGGGGGATTTCATCAGACTGGGGCTGTCAGGTAGCAGATTTGCGCCTGGCATCGCACATCAGGTCCCAGGCCCCAATGTGGCTGCAGTGTTTAGTGACCCACACCAAGCCCAGCAGCGGCCTAGAGACCAGCGTGCACAGATGGAGATGTCCTCCACCATCCTGCACACTACAGGCTGGCCCTGAAAAAGAAAAAGGCCCTTACGGCCGCCCCGTACCTGGGAAAGACCGCTCAACCCGACCGCCGCCATGGCAGCCACACGACCCAACACGCCTCC